TTATCGGCGCAACAAATTTGTTGTGTCATAATTTGGATTTTATTAAAACTGACGCTATTTCCTTGTAAGTACTAAGTCGGCTTATCAAATGAAATGAGTGTATTTATTTATACTCATATAAGATAATTGCGTGTTACAGTTTAAAGTGAAATGTGGGAGTGGGGTTTTTCAAGGAAAAAGACACATATTCTGTAGATTGTTTATGAAATATCCAGATCAGAAAAAAAGCAAATGGTAAAGGAACCGATTATATTGTAATTTGTAGGATGGGTGCGAAGAAAAGACATCTGATTATTTCAGACCGATCCTTGCCAGTTTAGACTAAATTGCATCAACCTATTTGTACACAATTAATAATGGAGTTTGCTTTTTTGTCACTTGTCTACTCTGTATTAATACATTACTTTTTAAGATCCCCTAGGACGAACGTTATTAATTAATATGAAGATATCAAGATATGATACATTGAGTTTCATCCATCCGTAAAAATTGTCGATGAAATCGTCACTTTTCAAAGGCAGAAATTGTGTGCTACCTTTGTTGAATTTTTTAGCTGTTCATTATTTAGAGGCAAGCTGGAATACTACGCAAACCAGTGTTCTTTAACACGTCATATACAAAATCATGTCCTTTTGCATCATTGTGTTTGCATTGCGATACAAATGTAAATTTTTTTAAGTCTCTATACTCGTTACACTTTCAAAATAGTATGCCATCATAAGTTTATCCCATGCCTACTTGCAATGGAGCTTCTTCCATTTTACTGCTTGCTTATCTAAATCCATTTTTTCTGACCTTTCTGTCAAGGATAAAAATTAAAAACGTTTGGCATGGAACTAATTTTTGTCATTTCGTTAGTGTATTTTTATTTCCATGTTATTAAAATGTTTGCCCTGTCGTTGTAAAAATTATATTTTTGTTTATTAAGTTCTTGCGTCTTTTTGTTTCATCATTCCTTTCGTGATGTTGGATAATTGTGTATACTTTATGTATACGTTTTGAAACCTTCATCCTTGCTGCCCTTTACTTTAAACACTGTTTTACCATTTCTGCTTGTACACCCAGTAACCACTTGTAGAAGGCAGTATCCACCATTTTTCTTTGCGATTACTTCAGATTTTATAGAAATAAATGTTGTGATTAACATCATCCGTGGGTTTTATTTCCTACGTTCAATCGAAGCTTAGTTTTTCTTGACCACTCGAGCGATAAGCTTTTACATCGTCTAATGTATCATTTGGTTGAAAAATAGCATGTGGATGTTTTTTTGTCACTTCAGTTAAACTAAAGCATCCAGGCGAAACCAAATTAAACCCAAAAAGTTCTATGAAAGCCCAAATGAATGAAAGGTTCCGTAAATGTTCTGGTCCAACAAGAATCGGGGCGTTGTCAAAATGGCAGAACTACTATCAGTAATTCAAAACAGTTCCAGAATAAAATTATAGTTCAAAAAATGAGTACTTTCAAATTCCACTGAACAGTCCAAACAAATGGTTTTCATCTCGAATAATATACAAATAGAACTTAAAAAACATCTGCAGACTTAGAAATGGAACACAAGAAACATGGATGATTCCAAAATCGGAATGAATCTGATTGCTCAGTTCTTTCCTTATATACACCTTCTATTGTCATTACATTTCACAATATACATCATGTGTTTTCTCTTACTACTTATTTTGCCTCGATCTTGCCTGTTCATGTGACCCAGTCCAACCAATGAAAAGTTACTGAATTCTCTAGAATCGTCTAAATCTCATTCGCGAATGAAAATTAAGATTTTTATTATTAAGAGTATTATTGGTAATTGTCACCACATATGTAAAAATCTATTTATAGATTATATGTAACATATTTAGGTCAGTTAGACAGAATTTAACTAAAGATATACTGTATAATTTACAGCTATGAATACAAATAACTACAATTGAAAAACATCATATATCAGGAGTAGCCCTTATCATCATCGTCTGTAATGCTTTTTCGGACAGTACTTATAGGTTACTGCATTTGTATGGGAAAATATGAAACTCGTTTTGTAGGATGGATATACTGCACTACCAAGGTCGTGCAATATATCCATCCGACAAAACGAGTTTCATATTTTCCCATACAAATGCAGTAAACTTTTTATTATATGCTCATTTTTTTATTCTTCCCAAGGCTTAAATATATAAAAAAATACACTACAAGAAACAAAGTAACTAAATGTATGCCGTATTCCAAACTAAATGCATAAGCGTTGATGCATCATTACACAACAGCATTATTAATGAGCGCGTAACTCCGCCCAGATAAATTTGAAGTTGGTCGCGCGCTAGACGTATGTGTCTAAAGAAAATGGCGTTGGTCTATTCAAAATTGAAATTTGGAGTAATATTGTTAATGAATACGCATTTAACAACTTTTCCATTTGATCTGGAATTAATACGCGTTGGTATTTTTGTCGATTCAACGCAATCTTGTGATTATGGTCTGGATTTATATACATAAAGTAACTTGCATCGGATTCCAGCAGCGTCTTCCAATTTAATCGTATTGAAGTGTGTTGACATCGGATTCAGTTCTGTCATTGAATAATTCAGATCATAATGTGGGAAAATTATGAAACCTTTCAATTGCAATTATCGAAAAGATGCTGTGGAATTTAATGTTTATTTCATTTTTAGCGCAGAAAGAAGGATGTAACTGCATATGGAATAGAAAACTCCAAATTGCAGTAATCAACCTTGAGAACCTATGATATGGCTTATGTAATTCGGATTAACAGAACTACGAAAATATATATTTTGAGGAAATTCGGGATAAAAATGTAATTCTATTTTTGCCATTTTTATTACCAGCTAAAGAAGACAGTTTAGGTGTTATAACTTGCGTGTTATTATGAGTACCCTGTATGGAGCCTATGTCTAGCCTATATCAGAAATATTGGATCTAAAAAGTGAACGGGGTATGTGCCAAAGTAGTTTGTATGTGTCATTTTATGAAACATTTGCTGGTATGTGGCAGTCCATGAAATATCTGCTTTAGGTAATTCATACAAAATTTGTTTACGTTTATGTTAGGAAATAGTTCCTTTATTCACGTTCATAAAGTATAAATTGAGATCGATGAGATTAGAATGAAGTTGTGCAATATCGGTAAATACTGAAAGATTCTGACAATGTAAAATAAACGGAGAAAAAATGAGCGTATTATAAATTATTTTTTCAAAACAATTTCACTTCTTGGTAATGCCAGCTACCTCATCGTTGGATAAGGCGAGATAAAAACAACTTCTAAACATCAATATAATTGCAGTTTGTATTAATATACTAAGTTTTCTGTCATGTTATTGGCTAAGGAAATGTCACGTGATGCAGACTGGAATTATTTATATATTGGTAAATTTAGGGGACTACTTTCTCACCAATTCGATTTTTACTGTACTTTCAGTCAAGCTTTGTCCTCCATCGTTCCAACCCTATTTCAGATCTAAATTTTTAACCATTTCAAATACCGCAGTAAAATAGTCCTTCTTGCTTTACAACACTCAACTCTGAGTCCATGCAAATATCCTTTGCGATCAACTCTACCAACAAAAATTACCTAAGTTTTGCTTCGACATTGAATTTGCAGAATCCGTCAGCGCTTATGGTAAAGTGTTTGAATTCTAGACCAAATAACTCAGTAATGCTTTATCATTATGGTGCTCTTCTGCTTGTGATTGTATGATATGAATAAATTTATACGTGGATAATTGTCTTGATATTAGAAAAGTCATTTTCGGTACATCTTCAATTTTAAATTCTTTTTATCAAACATTTCTTTATTCGTTTACAAACGTTCATTTTTGTGTCCATTTTAAATGAATAGAATTTTGACACTAACCCACAAAATTCTCTAATTGGTTTGTCGCTTGTTTAAACGTTCGGGAGTGTTCCTGTTCATCAGTGATATGTGAAATACTTCGTCCATGGAATAGTCTACTACTGTCAAAGAACTTGATGTCTTCGTTCTTACGGTTTTCTGTCGCAGCATCGATGCTATATCTGTTTTAGTCGACTGATTAACGATATGATTGCATTCATTGTAACTTATATAACTTTGTTCTCGATTCAGATTCAATTACAAATTATGATTAATGTAACAATTTAATGACTAGAATACATCCAACTTGTACTATTATCTCATCTACAGAATACGTCTAACGGGAATTACTCAAACTATATTACATTACATCAACAAGCTTTCTAAAATACAATAGATCTCACCATCGCTGTAGATAAGAGGTTAGAGAATTGGGTATATTGTTCCCTTGTTTGCAATTAATTGAATTTTTTAAAATTGATGATATATTTTAAATAACACAACATTTTTTTAAGAGTCTTAAATATCGCGATGCTCTATTAATTTGGTATACAATTCTTAAATAAAATTGTTTTGCTTGATTTTTAAACATTTTCAAATGGGTTTTAGTAAGTTTTAGTAGAAGCATCTGAGTAAATAAGCAAATACGCTACTTATCAAGAACTCTATCGTCGTGATGTGATGTGATGTCATTGTGATTTTTAACATAGCATAAATATTTTTTCAGTCATATCGCTACGTTGTCTGCAGTGTGGTAGTTTATAGCGATATCTAGCATTGGATAATCATGCCGCAGATATGTAGCAGGTCGTCCCACCCAGTCATATTATTTTGACACCAGGCCAACCAGTCCTAACACTAACCATTGGCGCTTTGTAAATAGGTTCACAAAATAAACATAGTACATCCTAAAGCTAATTGTTTTAGTGATGGGATTCACTGATTCTACGACAAATAGGATACAAATTGGAACAATAAGGATATAATTATCAAGGTTGGATATTTATCGAACAGTAAATGTTAGCTAATCACTCACAGAGTTAACTTGTAAATGATTATGTAAGATTTAAACTTCGAATAATTGTTTTACTGAACTAATCATGAAATCAATCAACATTAAATAAGTAAACTGCGTCACTTCAACTTACATCGCACCGGTGGCTTAGTAGTGAGAGCGTCCGCCTCGGATGCGGGAGGTCGCAGGTTCGAACCCCGGCTCAGGCATACCAAACACATTTAAAAATTGGTACTAACAGCTGCCTCGCTAGGCGCTCAGCAATAAGAGGCTAGTGTTAAGACTGGTCGACTAATGTAACTGAGTAGGACATCATCCCCCATGTCTGTGGCATGATGCCGCAATGCTCGACATCACTTTATAGTGCCACACTGAAGACATCGTAGCAAAAATGATTAAAAAATTATTCAAGTTTCGTTAAAAATACAAATCACACACACACATTGTTATTGTTACAAAATTGCAATGATATTCTCTGGTTCATTTGGTTTAAAAATATTTATCTGTATTTTGTCACAGAAGATGTCTCGTAATCCAATGTTCTCTTGAACTTCAAGTGCTGTTCAAATCACTTTCATGTCTTTTGTATGCACATAGTTATTTTTAGCATTTTCGTTTACTTATCTGTTTAACAAATTTGTATTACCTCTTTGCTTTATTGATAGAACTGCACTGTTCTCTCTCGAATGCGTACATGAGGTTTAATTAATATTGATCTACATCTTTGATTCAACCATGTTTAATATGTTCTTTGCATTCATCAGCTACATTTTAAAGGTGCTTGTTAGATCGCCTCATGTCTGAGAGCAAGTGTTGCTTAGAGAAAGCATGAGCAACCACGTCCAGTCTATCGTCATAGTAAATGGCCAAACCCTCCTGGCTCTAGACAAGTTCACCTATCTCCACAGCACACTGCCATGTTCAGTCCACATCGATGATGAAATCAACGCAAGAACTGCAAAAGTATGTGTGACCTTTAGCAGACTACGTACTGTAATAGAATATGTAATTAAATTGTTTGTTTGCTAGTTTCAATCTTTTTAATTTGTTTTAGTTTTTTCCATTACATGCTATTGTAATGACAAATTTGTTTACTGGATTTTATTTTTTTTTAGAAATTCAATTCAGTTCTGTTTGACCTGATTAATAGCCAGTAGTTTGAAACATTGTATCTAATTGCTGACCTTGATTCAGAAGCAGGGTCAGGTGTTTAGTAAACAACGTTTTGAACAATTTTTATTCATTCTAAGAGTAAGATTCATTTAGTGAAATCAAGGCCATTCCTGAAGTACATGACAAATAACATTTGTTTATTGTTACAAACATTTGGTTTTCCCAGTTGAATTATTTTTTGACCACCATCCAGGAATCTGTCTTACGTTTTAGTTGGGCTTATGGCTCATGTTATCATAAAAGTTAGTTCAGTTGTGCTTTAAACCTTTGAAGCTCAAAGGTGTTTTGTTTGTAACCATTTTGAGTTAAAGTGTTCTAATTTTTTGAATTAATTTGTTTACCCTGGAAAATACTAGTGCTCATCTGAATTCTTGGACAAAGGCATTTATTGAAATTTATTTAGAAATTCAAAACTGGAATATTGGTTTTTGTGATTCAACAAGGAACTGTTGACACGATAAAACTATGAAGGTTACGGCATACGTCATCACCAACCATCTCGAAATTTCATTGGGATTGAAACTGTGATTCATTTAGGACTTTTCATTGACATGACTCATAATTTTTAATTCTTGGATTAATTTTTGGATTTGATTCGTCAACCGTTAAGTCTTCTTATATTTACCTCGTTTTGTAGGAAAATAAATTATTTTGTTAAATTTTACAAAGCTTGTTGGCTTCACTCTTTCCTTGTTACTTTTTTACGAGCACAGATACATCACAATACAAATTTGTGACAGCGTTCACATCAAAACTTAAGGTCTACTTTGGGTTGCCAACCATGCTATTTACGTGTTAAACCGGAATAGCATATGGAGCCCATGCCAGAAAGCTGACTACACATTGACAGCCTGAGAAAACTGATAAGGATAAGTTGATTGAGCAATGACCCAGACATTGAGGTTCTCACATAGGCAAGCATTTCAAGCATCCGCTTTCTGTTGATGAAATCAAGGAAGAAAAGGGCAGGCCACTTCTCCAGCATACCGGAAGAGTGCCGTCTAAATACGAAATTCTAGGTCTTTGAAGGTTGGAAAGAGATCTCAAGGTGGTCAGAAGTACCACTTCAACGTTTCCATCAAGTTATTCTTGAAATACTTCGAGCAATATTCTGAATTTTGGGAAGATCAGCACAGGATTGCTATACCTGACGCAGTCTCAGCCATACGGGATCTACATATTTTGAATGAAGGAGAATTGCAAAGGCAATGCTAAAACATGAGCAATATCAATCTCAGAAATGCATCTCATCCTCTTTTGATCACCCTAACCTGTGCAGAATCCCTGTAGAGTGTACCACAGACAATTCAGAGCACATATTAGCTTGATCAGACACTCAAATAATAAAAGAAATCAAATCGGTCGGTGATGGCGTTGTCGTCTTCGAACTCGAAGGATGAACAACACCATGTGATAAATTACACAATTTAATGAATAAAATAAGTTTACAAAGTATAGATACAAGAAGCAGCAATACGAGCAATTAAAAAACAAATATAACAATAATAACAAATATAACAAATAACAAAAACTGTGATGAAGATTACAAGATTAATTACAAAGTAATAAAGGAAATGTAACACTTAACTGACAAGGGTTGAAAAACAATGAACGTAAAACAAATTTAGAAAACACGCGAATAAACTACCAATGGTATAGTCGGATATTGTACAACTAAAAGTGACATATCCGATGAATATATTTCGCCCCGCTAATAATTTGAACAAATTGAAAGATTAAACAAGAATAATACTATTTTTATCTTGTACATGTTCAGGTTTGAAAACTACAAAAATGATTTGATACTGGTCTGTAATCATGATGCTTATTCAAGTAATTTCTGCGAATAGACTTTTCTGTATAAATGTATAAATCAGAAATGCATCCTTGGTAATATGAAAATTTAGCGTGTCGATCTTTGCTTTTGTGTGTCTTTTTCTACTAGCATAATATGATTTAGCAAAGCTCAATAAAAAGCAGCCAAAGCTACTTATTAATTCTCTAAAAATATATTGTTTACGAAGAAATAAAATAGTAATGTGCTTCTTGTGCTGCATTTCATAAATTAAGTTATCTGCTTTGCTGTATATCGATTTCATTAGCACTTTAAGACCTGGTGTAAATTTATTTTATTTTTAACATTTTACGAAACAGTATTACTTTTATTTTGATACTAATAAAGTCTAAATCAGACAAAATTACTTGCATCGTTCTTTACAGCGTTCATTTAACTTTGATGTTATTGTGGTCTGAGTCAGTCACATTTCCTTTTCCTTTCATCGTTCTTTACAGCGTTCATTTAACTTTGATGTTATTGTGGTCAGAGTCAGTCACATTTCCTTTTCCTTTCATCGTTCTTTACAGCGTTCATTTAACTTTGATGTTATTGTGGTCAGAGTCAGTCGCATTTCCTTTTCCTTTCGGTGGCGCTCTACAATTTCCTATTCAGCATAGGATTATAATTTTAAAGAAAAAGTTTCCCCGGGTTTCCTCACTTGTTATACTGGCTATTTAAAAGAGACTTTGTATATCTTAGGTATTGTTCAAAGAACCTTTAATGCCCTATTTTTGATGTATGATTGATGGGTGTAATATGGGTTAGAGAGAATACAGCTTGGCCTTACTCCAGATGTACACCTTTACAAAAGGTGCTTGCTCTACTTGCTCATTTTCACTTCCCGAACTTCAGAGGGAAATTGTAAACAATAGAGCCGATAACTTTTTTACATTTTATGTATTTGGTAATTCATTCATAGCACTTTTAGAAGCTGGTATTGTCTAGTTTGGAAAAATTCATTTTCCATATATTAATAGCTGCCAAGAATAGTCTACTTTAGACAAATTCAGGTTGCTTTTTGGAGCACACGGAAGCTGTCATTTTAGTTAGCAGTGTCCTAAGATCATTTAAAATTTCCAAAAGTACAATATCCAAAGAAATTTCAGCCACATTACATGAAAGTAGTATATAGGTATGCCAACATTCTCTCCACTGTGCATGTTTAAAATGCAAACAACTTCATCTTACATACATCACTCTCTCAAAAGTACATAATAACTGGTGAGCGCCATCATAAAGAGTATATAGGTATGATTTAATTTTGATTGTATTGCTGAAATATTTAAGTCGCAAGCATCAAAACAGTCCTTTTTAATAATTGTCCTGTATTTCCCACTCACAACAGCATTTATTAGAGTCAGTCTCAAACAAGTACATCCCCCCTCCTTATGTTAAAAAGTGAACTATTTTAAAAATCGCTTTTGCATTTTGTCAACATAGTAACCAGTGTTATGCTGATAGACAGGAACATGAAACTAGCCATATTTATTACTGAGATGTCCACAATAAATTTTATAGTTAGAAAAGGGGTATAACAGGTGAGGTTCATAAAGGTCAAAGGTCAAAGGGTAAAATATTAACTAATTCTTTGATATGGAAGAAAGCTAATTTGCTTTGTTATCATTTTTTTATAATTCCATTGTACATAAATGAAAACAAACATTTTCACTATGAATTTCTTTTACTTAATGCAACAGTTTTCAATTTAAGTTGACTTTATTCCTATATTCTAAGACTTATAATTTCCCCATAATAAAGGTTACTACTCACCCAGACATGCCTCATGGCAAATTATGTAAGCTAGATCAAAAGTAAGCATAATTAGGTTATTTTCATGAATAAAATCAATGTTAATGTACCATTTTACTCAGAACATCATACATAACAATATATAATTGCATAAATGTTTATATTTGTTTTTAAGGTGGCGCTCGACGGTTTAGTATTTAGCATAGGGTTAGAATTTTAAGGGAAAAAGAGTTTCCCCGGGTTTCCTCACTAGTTATACTGGCTATTTAAAAAAGACTTTGTATATCTTAGGTATTGTTCAAAGAACCTTTCTTGTCCTTTATATGGATTTATACACAACAAAAACACAGATCCAATTAAGTTTTTATTTAAAATTATCAGTTTGCCTTGGGGGACTGTCTGCTGCTACTGATGAAACTGTTTTGTTTTATTCTGTCGGTGAGTGATTCA